TGAACATCTTGAATGCTGCTTGTGCTGTATCCATTAGGCCCGGGCCGGAGCGCGCCCCAGGGTCTAGGGTTAGTGTCTATTAATAGACAGATTTGAGCGCCTTTTAATAAAGCGCTTGCGCGGCCTCTGGCCTAAAAATGTCTCTTGCTTCTTGCCCTCACGCCCTACAGTTCTCGAAGCACTCCTGGTGTTCCTGAGCAATTCTGGGAGTGCACGCCCTGCACTGCTCAGGTTTCCAGATATGTATGGGATCCTCCTGCCTGGTATAGGGAGTGCACGCCCTGTACCAGTCATGAGGACCTCTCCATTGTAGGTCCAAGCCTTCAATATCTCATTGCGTATGTGTTACGTTCACTATTCCACTGTTAGGATCAGGGGGTATAATTAGGGCCTATCAAGGCGCATCTCCCCTAGAGCATCAGGATTGGTGCCAGTGGGAGAGGGTGGTCTCTGTGAGCATCAGGATTGGTGCCGCCACCCAGACGTCTATTGGGATCAGGGGGTATATTCAGGCCTATCAAGGCGCATCTCCCCTAGAGCATCAGGATTGGTGCCAGTGGGAGAGGGTGGTCTCTGTGAGCATCAGGATTGGTGCCACCACCCAGACGTCTATTGGGATCAGGGGGTGTTTCCATATCATTCTCTTTTCCTCTATTGTTATTTGTTATTTCTCTTATCTCTGGCCAGAGCTTTCTTTCTTTGTCCTACCTTTTGCTAGTTTTTGTGCTGTTTCAATTCTCTGTTAAATTTTTCATTAGACCTACTAGTCTAGTGGTAGTACTTTGTATTTTTGTAAAGCATGCAGAGTTTGGTGGACACTGCCCTGAACCTGGGCATGAGTGTAAAGCGCTGTCAATCCAGCTTTCTAACCCTAACCCTATATAACAAATTTACTGACAAAGCAATGACTTTACTTACCTGATAACAAAATTACTGATTGCGTGACAATGTGGCACTACTGGCCACTTCATTATCCGATCACAAAGTTACTTACTGTGTGACAAAGTAACACAAAACCGCTCCAGAACATATTACTTTGCCTGACAACCAAGCTCCTACTACATAAAGGACTAAATCCATCACAAATTGACTTACTGTGGCAATAGATTAGCTTGACAACCCATTTACTGTTGTGTTGCTTGAGAGGTGAGCGACTGCAAGGCAACAGGTCGGCAATTGCCGACCTATCGAGGGGCAATTGCGGCGCGAGGCTCGATTGGTCGGCAATTGCCGACCTATCGCGCGGCAATTGCCGACCTGTCGCACGGTGACCTCCTGATCTGTTGATAACCCACAGATCTCAATCAATCCTCCAACGTTCATCCCCTTGCTCTCAACCACCATCTCCCTACTGTCTTACCATGTCTCGTCGGTCGTCTTCCAGCAAGAACGCCAAGGTTACCCTTCAGACGGAGAAGCAGAACTTCGTCAAACTGGGAAAACCCAAGGACGTCACCAGGATCGGGGTCAGGGAAGTCGAGGAGAACAGAGAGGACATCAAGCCAGGAGATTGGTAAGTCAATCAATGTGTTTCATTAGTCCGTTAGTCCATCTTTTCATCATTTCATCTGATATGCTATATACAGCGTGTACATTAGGCCACCAGAGCTGAGGGCTCGTACTATAGAGGGGTTCCATTACTGGAAGGCGCAAGTGAAGGAGATACGCGGAGATGGTGATGACGAGGCATTCCTCATCACTTGGTTTTATACGGCCGAGGAAGCCAGGAAGAAGAGCCTCCTCCCTGTCCTCCCTGCTCAGGACGAGTAAGTCACTCTCTCTCTGCTCTCACCTGTCTCCTCATTGCTGAATGGCTTGCTTTCATATATCAGCCTGAAGAAGGTTGTTGACCACATGGGACGGAACGAGTTGCTGAGCTCGGATCACGAGCAGGTCATAAGTAGTCAGACCGCCGAAGGTACGTATCACTTTGGATTCCTGCCACAGTGCTAGGCCCTGACAGTGATATTTAACTTTGAGACATTGTGGACGTTGTCCGCTTTGATGATAGGGGCCCGTTCAGCCCAGAAAATGTGCACCCCAATGACTACTTCACGCGGTTCAGGCTGGTGACCAAGGAGGGTCGTCCGCACTTCCTGGTAAGGATGTCCCATTCATAAGCACTGTTCAAGGACTTATGGTGTGATTTGTAGGACGTGACTAAACACTGCACTTGCCAGACAGTGTATGACCCCGACCAAGACGTGCAGCGCTTCTGTCTCTCGTGTGTGAGATGGTTCGACCAGGCATGTATGACCAAGAGCACGGCCGGCCCACTGGTGCCCTTTGAAGAAGGGCAGGAAGAGACTCCAGCTGAGGAGGTCAAGCGCTTCCTCAAGTCACCCATCATTCGAGGGTATAGTGGAGGGCGACACCTATACTGGGAGATCGTTGGTACGGGCAGGTTGCTCAATCAGGTGACGGCCCTGGTCAGTGGCCTGTTTGACGGTGAGGTGCCTGACTGGAAGACAGGCCTTCCTGAGGGATTTGTGGAGGCGATGGAGGTGCTCCGGGCGATGCCCGGCTACATATGCCCCTCATGTGACAGGGCCATTTAGCCTCGTCCTCTTGTCCTGTCTTCCTCTTCGCTGGTATCCTGGTCGTGCGGTCCGCCCCTTTTACTCTTACATCATGCCTGGTGCTTGTGCCCATGTTCATTTCGCTGTTTGCATTGGACGCTGTGATCCTGTTAGCCTTGTAGTATTTACTGCAATGGACTAGCAATAAATTTACTTGACGCAATCTGTGACAAAGTAACCCATGTCTCACTAGCTCTATAACAAATATATTTACTGTGGCGAGAGACTACCTTGAAAGGGGCAGTGCTCAGCCACGGCCACTCAACAGGTCGGCAAGTGCCGACCTCTCGAGTGGTGACCTGCTGATCCATTGATAACCCACAGAGTTCAATCGATCTTCTCATGTTCGTCCCTCTCTTCTGTACCAACATCCACTTACCACCCTAACATGTCTCGTCGGTCCACTCCCTCCAAAAAAGCTGTCCTTGCCCTCCAGAACACCAAGAGGAAGTTTGTGAAACTGGGTAGTCCCAAGGCAAGCACTCTGCTTGGGGATGTCAGCGACCCTACCAAAAACCGGACTATTAAGGTGGGAGATTGGTAAGTCAATCACCATGTTTCATCAATCCATTAGTTCATCTTTCCCTCATCTGATATGCAATATCCAGTGTGTATGTTATGCCGCCTGGGGAGAAGCCTGGCACCAGTCTTGAAGGATTTAAGTATTGGAAGGCACAAGTGAGGGAGATACGCGGAGATGGTGAGAAGGAGCAGTTTTTGGTCCATTGGTTCTACACAGAGGAGCATGCGAGGTTGGAGAGCAACCTCTCCATTCTCCCTACTGAGGAGGAGTAAGTCTCTCTCTCCTTGCACCTGTCTATCTCATCAGTGAATGGCTTGCTTTCGTATATTAGCCAAGAGGAGATCCTGGACCGGTTGGGTCAAAATGAGTTGCTGAGCTCGGATCACGAGCAGATTATCAGCAGTCAGACCATCGAAGGTAGATACTCACTTTGGATTCCTGCCACGGTGCTTTGGCCTGACAGTGATATTTAACTTGGAGACATTGTGCCAATTGTCTCTTTTGATGACAAGGGCCCCTCCAACTCTGAGAACATCAGCCCTCAGGACTATTTCATGCGCTTCAGGCTGGTGACCAAGGAGGGTCGTCCGCACTTCCTGGTAAGGATGTCCCATTCATAAGCACTGTTCAAGGACTTATGGTTTAATCTGTAGGGTGTGACTAAACACTGTACTTGCCAGAAAGTGTATGACCCGGACCAAACCGTACAGCGCTTCTGTCCATCGTGCGTGAGATGGTTCGACCAGGCATGTATGGTCAAGAGCAAGGCCGGCCCAATGGTGCCCTTTGAAGAAGGACAGGAAGAGACTCCAGCTGAGGAGGTCAAGCGCTTCCTCAAGTCGCCCATCACCCGTGGGTATAGCGGAGGGCACCACCTATACTGGGGGATTGTAGGTACGGGCAGGGTCCTTAACCAGGTGGCGACCGTGATCAAGGGCCCTTTTGATGGGGAGTTTCCCGACTGGAAGTCCACCCTTCCAAAGGGATTCTTGCAGGAGATGGAGGCACTCCAGGCCATGCCTGGCTATATATGCCCCTGGTGTGAGGCGGTCATTTAGTTTTGTCCTCTGATCCTCTTCTTGGGTCTCCTGGTTGCACGGTTTGCCTTGTCTTCATCACTAAACACTTTTGATGCCGTTTGATTATGCTGCATGTCCTTGGCCTTTGTTTTGTAGTTGCTGTGTTCTATCAGCTTTGTAGTAGTTACTGCAGATGACTTGCAATGGATTGTTGTGACAAAAATACTTCAACGACAAATCAGGAACTTCTTATCGATTGACCCTCTCATCACGATACCACCACCACCACGTCTCGTCAGTTTTCTGCTCAACCTTCCTCAGTATGTCCTCAGATGAGCAACATAATGCCATGGATCTACTTGCCATTCTTTCTGGCCTGACACCTGTGGAGATGACTGCCCTTGCAGGGGATTTTGGATATACAGATGATGAAGATGACTCTGATAGAGATAGCGACGATGACCAGTCCCTCATCGGGCTTTCTGCTATAAGAAACCTGTCCTTAAGCTTGTATCATTATACAGATGAGGAACAGTTATCATCCTCGTCTGCATCATCCGCATCTTCATCATCCCCTTCTTCTTCCTCCTCATCCTCATCCTCATCCTCAGCCCACTCTCCCACGCAGCGCGATGTTTCAGAATTTGTTGACCCACCTCCTTTGCCTCTTCAGGAGGTGCCTTCAGCCCACAATGATGATGAAGATGAAGAAGATCTCTTGCTTGCTGAGGCAGGAACAGATCGTCTCTGTAAGTATATATATATATAATATCCTTTTTGAACATATTCATATTGAGGAGCACTCATGCACCCGGGTGGATTTAGCTCTTTGGATAAATAATCCCCTGCGGGTGGACCAAATCTATAGTAATTTTGAAACACTGAACCATCAAACATGGGCTGATGGCCTCTGTCTGGACCAATGGCTCCTGCTCAAGTGGCTCCAAGAAGGACGGCCCTCACCACGGTATATCCCTATAAACTACTTGCATCCGCATTCTCCCCTTCCTACCCAACAAGAAATTGATCAATTCCGCGCGCTGTTTGGCTTGGATCCTGGTGAGAACAACCCATATGAGGATGTGATATCATGTATATTGGTGGGTGGAAGCAGGCAGCAGAGTGGAAATCACTACTGCGCTGTGGTTTTCCAACCTCAGGCCAAGGAAATCCACGTACTGGGGCGTATTATTGGCAAGAGTTCTCATGCAACCAAAGGGGACTGGGTGAAGTCCTTGGATTCTGCCAATGTTTGGACCAAGCTTGGGCTTCTCAATGGATGGGCAGTCCAATCCAATGTTGCCATCAAGGAGGTCAACTGGCCTCAGAACGGATCAGACTGTGGTCCCATCGCCTGCCAGGCCATTTCACACATATGGAGACATGGGTTCCACCTCAATAGACATGGTTACTGGCAGAAGCCACCCCTGCCCTGCTCACATGTCACTAGGCTGGCCATTGCAGAGTCATTACATGCTCACATTATTGCCTCCATCCAAACAGTCGACCATCTGCTCTCCAACTACCTTCCTGCAGCCAGTCGTTTCCTTGATCAAGGAATGCAGGACATTTTCCATGAACTGAAGACTCGGGTGGCTCCCACTCGCGGTGTCTTCCAAGATCATGATCTGCGTAAAGTGATTAACTTGATCACCAGGGCTATGAACACATGTAACCGCTGTCTGACGGATCGAGCCGCAGGCCTCAGCCTGGATGACATGGATGGAACCCCCAAACTGACTGATGCAATAAAGAAATTGCTCCCCAGGGCCAAACGGGTTGGCACTCTGCAATCAGGAGGTATGCTGATGGAAGTGGTGAGGGAGACAAGAATGGAGATGCATGAGAACCAAGGTGGCACACCATCGTCTGAGGAAGAGCTGACAGTGCCAGGAAAGTCTACTCAAAAAAACCAAAAGGCTGCCAAAGGGGGAATGCACCAAGCTACTCTGGGTCGATTTCCTCGGCACACGCCCCCAGTGGAGCTGCCTCCAAGACCTACACTCAGGGGGCTTCGCATTCCTTTTGATTCAACCTTTGATCAGTATGAACAGGGACCTACTGCTGCAGGGCTCCTGCCCATTCCTGATACTGTGGAACATTACCAGCCAGGCCTGGTCTACATCGCTGACCAGATCTTGCTTCATGGCTGGGAGCACTTCCATGACTATGGCTGGCGACTCATGCCATCCTTTTACCAAACATTTGACATGACCGACCCAGTCCTGGTAGAGGCTCACTTAATGCGACCATATCAACACCATCAGGCTGCGGATACTCTAGATGATCCTGCCTACACTCGGCGAGGTGATCTTATTCACTTTGAGAATGATAGCATAGCCATGGGCATGGAAGACATGGTGGCTGAGGCTCTCCAGCAAGAGGATCCAAATCTTTTCATCACTGGCCTTGACACGCAAGAACGTTACATCCGGGTGGACCTGGAGCAGAGCAGGCAAGAGGTTGATCACTCAGAACTCACGATTGCATGTGACATTGATAGCTTTATCTGGGTGGGGAGAGAGCCCCAATTCAAAAAGTCAGTGGAAGTATACACTGTGCCAATGGTCCGTGATCGCGCACCCATCTTCAAAAGCAATCATGTCTACGTGAACCTGTTGGTACCTCCCAGTGAAGAAGACAGAAGCCCAAGGACAGAATGGTTGGAGCATCGTTTCTCTCTCAGTCAGATTCCCCACCTCTATTTTGGCAAGATGGGTGGAGGTAGCACCCTGGTAAATGTCTACTTATTCTTCCCCCGTATGGTGCACAAGGCTCCATACTCTCGATTCTGGGCATCCGTCATTCCTTATCACGTTCAGTGCCGTTTCTGGGACCAAGTCTTGACCCCTGCAATGCGAGATTCTGTCGATGCTGAGGAGCATGCATGGGCTGGACTGGATCGGTCGCACGTGCACTTCAAGCAGGGTAATAAGCGTACCACCACGCCCTCGTATCCATTAACCCCAAGGAAATTTGAACGCCTGCTTGCAAGCATGGCAGTCATGGTGAGCTTGGCTGCATTTTTGTCTTTTGTTTGGGCTTGTGACCAATCATTCACTATGGTTCGTTCCAGGTTGATGCTTTGAATACAGTCAGTCCAGAGTTTGGATCATATTTCTTTGTGCTGGAAAACAAGGGGTCTAAGGCTCAATCTCGAACGAAGGTTACTTCCTCGAATGATGGAGCAACAGCTCGCACAGTCAAGGATGCCTATGCTGCCTGCCTGGAAGCATTTGATGGTCTCGACTGGGACTATCTCTACCCATATGGAACGGACGGTAGGCCGGCCTACCGTCCGTCGCGGGAAATACTTCCTTTTCGGCCCTTCTGACTATCTGGCAGGGGGTTTACGCACCTCCCAGTCAACATTGAAACACCCGCCGGGACCCCCCTCCCCCCCTGCGGCCGCCTGCGGGCGCTTGTGTGCGGACGGCCTGCAACCCGCGACGGCAGGGGCTGGAATCGCTCCCCTCTCTCTGCTCTTTGTTGCAGCACCCTATTTCCACCCTTGTGAGCCTCTTTGCTTAGGCACCGCAGCCGCCAGACCCTCCCATTCAGCCTCCACCGATCTCCCTTGCTGGCACGGACATCGACGGTGGGGGCTGAAAGGGGTCAAATCTCTCCCCCGTTGCATGCATCCCCCCTTCTGAAGCTCCCTGAGTCTATCTCGGTAGGCACCCAACCCGCCAAACCCCATCGCTCGTGCTCCAGCGTGCTCCACCTGGGGCTCAGTGGGTCATGCAGGCTTGGAATTCACCGACAGACTCTGCACGTCTTGGACACACCCAAGGGCACCTCTGAAGTGAGGTTTGATCAGCCACCGCACCTTTCCCATGCCACAGTTGAGTTTCTACAGAATTACTATTATTCTGAGATAAACATCAGGAGGGATCGGACAGCTGGTGCTTAGCCAGTACTCAGTCCGCTGGTGTCAGGGATGATTCTACACCCTCATTCAAGTGTGTAGAGTCATATTTTATAGCCACCAGAGAGGCCAGCATGACCTGCTGGTTTTGCAGTTCAAGTGCCATCTGCACAAGTGC